GGATCATCCAGAGATTATATATATTAAATGGAAATTAATTATTTAAAAATCATACATTGTATTTTTCTGGATTTTTGTTTTAGATTCCATCACTCACAGTTGAAGAGTACCTATGATAAAAATTACAGTCATCTACAAGCTTTGCAAGTGGGAAAACCTGAAAAATCAACAGTGKATCAAATACTTGTTCTCCCCACTGTATAAACATAATCTCCAGTTTCAGTTTTATGCAGATGATGTATACGTCTATTTGACACCAACAACATAAATCCTTTGGACTGTATTTTAAACGACTGCTTTTAGCACACTGTTATTTTTCTACCACGTTGTTGGTTTTTAATCTTTTTTTATTACTGAACTRATAAAAAGAACTGTTAGTCACTGTTGTAAAGTGTTATATGAATAAAATTAGGATTAATAGATTTGCAGCTGAGTTTTAAAGTCAAACCAAGTTAAACTGAATAAATTTTGTTTCCAGCCACCGATGGAGGACGGGGGCCGCAAACGACACTCGTCCAGCGGAGACGGCCGGCGCCGACATCCATCGCAGCTCTCTAGCCGGCCCCACAGCCAGGCCAGTGGAGGCCCCGCCCCCTCCGCCACCCAGGCCCACACAGCCAAGGATGTTGCCAAACCCACCAACCAGAAAAGCCCCGCCCCCAAAGAGGATTCTGCAGCGAGCACTAAAACACTGAAGTAACTGCGGAGAGGAACACAGCGGCCCGCACGCTTCGACTCTTCAAGTTGCAGTTTTTTTTTCTCTGCGCCACCGGAGCGGGGCAGGGAGGGGGGTGCACCCAGCACTTCATTCAGCCTTTCATTGGATTAAAACTAAATCTTCATCGTTTTATCAAATTCCTCCGTTTTATTATTTTTAGAATTAGACAAAAAAAATCTGGAATGAAACAGAAGTTTGCAGATCGGCACGTCAACAAGCGGACACCTCCCTCTGTCATTACCCCCACCACCCCCCCGCTCACTGGCTGAAAAGGTTTTTGATTCCCAGACATTTCTGAGGTGGTCAGTCCAGACTGAGAGCAGGAGGCTGTGCTGCTTCTCACATTCAGCTGGACCAGAGTGGTCCGAACCATCTGCACCCCCCCGGCACCATCAGTCAGGGGCTAACAGTGATTACTTTGTGGCTGAAGTCTGAGGGGAAACTCTAAACCAACCAACTGATAAAAGACTTGTTTGAACCCGTCACTTCAGCCTAATGATTGAAAGTTGCCTTATTTTGATGGTTTTACTGCTTCCAACTTGTGCTCCGCCCCCCCAGCCCCACCACGCCCCCCCCAGCCTCTCTGTGTGAACTGTCTTCCACGTGTCACTTCTGTATGAACTGTGTGTTTCTGCTCGCAGCTTGTGGCTTTTTTTGTTTTGTGCTGGAAGCTGATGGAAATCTGTCGTCCTCCCCTCCTCAAACTAAAAAAGTGGAAGTGAGAGTTAAAGACGACCTCCTTCCGGGTGCTTCTCCTCCCGCCTTTCTGTCAGATGTGCTGCATCCATCCGTTCATCCATCCATCCGCTCATCCATCCATCCATCCATCGTCAGCGACGCTACAGGACCGGAACCTTCTGGATTACTTGAAGAGGAGGATGGCAGCGAGGAGGACCCACACGCTCGAAGGAGGCTCAGAGTTCTCGATGCTGATTGGACCTCGCCGCTTCCTGTTTGGGCTACAGGTGCGAACACTAACAGGTGGGGTGGACGTGTTCGGGATCGTTTGCTCGCTTCATCAAGAACTAATGATATCAGAGAAAAAAATAACCTTTCCACTAACGTAAATGTGAATTAGACGGATGAAGAGAAATGATTTCGGCTCTGCTTTGGCTTTTTGTTTATAGGACACATCTGCCTTACATCTGTACTTTAACTTTATTTTTTAATGATCTCTTTAATGCGTTTTAAATTGAATTTGCTGTGTTTCTGTTACGATGGAGGCGGGGCTTTGTGTCTGGARAGGGAAAGTTGACATCTGGATGAAAACAGGATATTTCTTGTAAAATCAGAGCTTTTTTTCTTTGTTTTATTAGGAGTGTTGCCAACATGAGAACATGGTTTCTGATAATTCCTGGCTAACTTAATGATKACCTGCAGTTCTTCTCTGATACTATGAAGTCAAGGTGCTCACTGCAGAGTCATGAAGAGCAGACAGAAAGTTAGTCAAAAACTGGTCAGTGTTTTGTACGAAACTTTTTTTTAAGTTTGAGACTCAAAGCTAACGGCTTCATGTTTACTTCCAGGAATAAATCAAAAGATAAACTTATCATTTAAAAGTAGTTTGGGGTTCTCCACAGCCCGGCTCGTTCCCTGACTTTAACTTTGTGTTTTGCAGCAGATTCAGTAAGTTTATTGCTGAAGATTTAAAAGTAAACGAGTGAGAAAATGAAGCAGGAGACTCGAGCAAATAGTTTGTTTGCATCAAGTGTCTGATAAACTGGAGTAAAACTAAGGTTTAAAACCTTATATCAGCCAAAAAGTCTTTTTCATCTTGTTTTCAGACTGATTTACTAAACAAGAACTGATTGTGTAAGAATAATCATCTTGTTTTCAGAATGTGTAAGATTATTTGTCTTGTTAGTCTGAAAATTTGACTCTAATTAAGTCAAACATTTCCTAATTAAGTTTCTTGAAATAAGAAAAAATTGAGTCAAATCAAGTATTTCAAGAATCTTACCAAGTAAATTGTTCTTACT